TGACATTTGTATATTGTGTTTATACGCGTATTTCTAATTGAAATTCATAATGTCAGACAAAAATAAATCATTTAAACTTTAATATATTTTTTACGAATTTTCTTTTGTCTGGCAAAATTTGTCCATTTTCCAATTTGTCTGGCAAATTTTTGGTAACAGGAAATATGGGTATTAATTTTAAGTACCCGAGATACTAGACAAATAGTGATCACTGAAAAATTTAAAAATTTTCACATAATTTTCCACAGAGAAACTCGGCTCCGAATATTGGAAACCGTCTGGCAATTTATTTTTATCATTTTCATAATAAAAATTTTCATTGTTTCGATTGCCAGACAAAAAGTAAATGATGAATTTTTTTTTTCTTCTTGCAAGTTCACCCCTATGAACCACACTTTCGGCTATTTAAAACCGTCTAGCATTTGAAAATTGTTAGGTACTTATTAATGTCTATTTTTTCATCAACTGCCAGACACTTTAATATGAGTGAAAAACTAATTATTTTATGCAAAAGGAAATTAATTTTCCAAATTTTCGAACACGGGTCGGCCCTTAAAACCACCCTTATTTTCATTAACTAACCTTTTTCAGACCTCAAAATGTGGACATTTTTGGATGACGCCACACCCATGTGTGCTAGCTCACGGTCTAACACTTTGTGAATGCAATAATAGTATATTACGTAATAAGTGTTGTAAATAGTTATTTTTGTATCTAGTGCGCGAAATGCTACTTTGGTGATCGAGAATTGAATTTTTTAACGAGGCGAAGCCGAGTTAAAAAATTATTCGAGACCACCAAAGTAGTTCGCGCACGAGATGCAAACAATATTTTTTCTACAAACGTCAAAATCTATCTCTTAAAAATATTATAAATAAGTAAAATGCCTAATTTATTATAGAAAATAGTGTTGAGCTGGCTTAAAATGTCTTTCCTAATCAAATTTTCACTGTTACTATGGAAACAAAGTGGCTGTTGTTGACAACAATAATAATTATTTTAAAGTGACGTTTGTGCTCGCGTCTTCAATTTTTAAGTGCCAGATATTATTTAAAATAATGGAAATTGCTAGTGACGATGAACTAAGTAGTACCCCACCTAATTTGGCAGATGCGGCCAATTTGGTAACTTCAAATCTTTTACCGGAAAAATCGAAGCGCCAATATGAAAATGCATATCGGCAATTTAAGGAGTGGTGTGAAACAAATAAAGCAAGAAAAGCATCCGAAAATGTGCTGTTAGCATATTTTGCAGAAAGATCCAAGAAGGTGAAGCCTTCCACATTATGGGCAGTATATTCTATGCTAAAATCAACACTTAATGCTAAGGAAAACGTAGATATTAAAAAATTTACCAAGTTGGTTCCATATTTGAAAAAATTGTCAGTTGGACACAACCCTAAGAAATCCAAGGTATTAACTCGAGAAGAAGTAAATCAATTCATAAGAGAGGCAGATGATGAANCACTGAGCATGCACATTAATAGTATATTACGTAATAAGTGTTGTAAAAAGCATTTTACGCACGAATGGAAAAGTTACGCACGACGCCGCGTAGCGGCGAGTGCGTAATTCTATGAGTGCGTAATTGCATTACACCACGTATTACGTACTATACTTTACCTACGACCACTACTTTAAATACTTAAAAACACACCGTCTGCGATCAATGCAAGATTCCTATTACGTTGTACGGTAAAAAAAAACGCACAGCTTGGTAAAATAATCGTACAGTCTTCCTAGCGACCGCCTAGCAACGGTCAATACAAACAGTATTGTATTGGCCGTTGCTAGGAAAACTGTGCGATTTTTTTACCGTACGTAATAGGAATCTTACATTGATCGCAGACGGTGTGTTTTTAAGTATTTACAGTAGTGGTCGTAGGTAAACATTATGAAGAGACTCACGACCTGTAAATATTAGAATTGATGAACACAAAAATAAGAAATCTAAAATTTGCTATCACACTTGGGAAAACGGTCATAATATTAAATGGAGTTCGGCTAAAATTTTGCAAAAGGTGGCCGGGATATTAAATGGTGAAATATGTGTGTCAAACAGATTCTTAAAGATGAAGTTATTTACTTACTCTATAATGGAACATCATTAGTCCAATTAACTAAGCCTTTAAATCGAAATTTTGTCAACTTGGCTGAATTTTTGATATGAGTTAGTTTAAGGTATATTATAACAATAAGTGAGAGTAATTTTTTGTTCAACCCCCGGCCAAGGGTGGAAAAAGATAAAACAAAGGGCTTTTTCAAGATAACTCAAAAAGGGTAAGAGCTAGAAAAAAAAGTTTTTCATGAAAGTTGTAAAGCAGACAATTCTACATAAAAATGGTCTCTTAGCTTTTTCTTGTACTATTAAAATTAACAGAGTTAGGGAGGCTAGAAGTTAAGGGAAGATTTCAGAAATTTAATTTTGTTAAATCATTAAAATTAACGATTAAAAATTTGATTTTTTGTTATAACTTTCTTATTAAAAATTAAAAAATATATCTATTTCTCTGAAAAGAAAAGTTACATATTTTAGAGCAGATTGAAAAAAAAAATTACAAAATTCAATCATTTTTCTGTTTGTTATGATTTTTTTTAAATTTCTGAAATCTTCCCTTAACTTCTAGCCTCCCTAACTCTGTTAATTGTAATAGTACAAGAAAAAGTTAAGAGGCCATTTTTATGTAGAATTGTCTGCTTTACAACTTTCATGAAAAACTTTTTTTTCTAGCTCTTACCCTTTTTGAGTTATCTTGAAAAAGCCCTTTGTTTTATCTTTTTCCACCCTTGGCCGGGGGTTGAACAAAAAATTACTCTCACTTATTGTTATAATATACCTTAAACTAACTCATATCAAAAATTCAGCCAAGTTGGCAAAATTTCGATTTAAAGGCTTAGTTAATTGGACTACATATGATATCTTTAGTTATGGAGACTGACAAAAACAAACAAATTTAATCTGTCAAAGTAACTGAAACGAAAAGTCAAAAACAGTTCATTTAAAGTGCCCGATACAAATTGATGTGCTTTTTGTACTTTTTTTTGTATTTGTCTGCTATTTTCAATTGAGATAATTTGGTTAGGCAAAACTATTTTCATAAAAATAACCCTGGACTGATCCTTTTGGCACAAGGGTTTATTTCACATATTTTTTCACGATACCCAGAAATGAAGAAAGAAAAAGAAATAAATACACAAATTTCTAAGTCGCAATAAACCCATAATAATATAGATAAGTTGAATATAAATAAATATTTATCGCCTGTATAGTAATCAGCAAATTCTAAGTCATATACAGACTATTTAACGCAGTACCTATATCTTGTAGCAGGTAAAAAATTGTGATATTCTTTATAGTGATTCTCTTCGGTTAATATGATTATCCTGGAGAGAGTCAAACAAAAACCTCACTGAAAAACTCCCACAACATAAGAAAACAAGTTTTATACAAAACGAAGCTATTTCTGAACAATATAATTCCATGTTTTTTGTTGGAAAAAATAGTAAATGGGATCCTAAGAACGGCATGTGAAAATTTAAAAAGCCGTGACATCAACATTATAACTAAACGTCGTACGTTTTACATTTATTTACAAAATAAATAGCAACAAATCGCTTAACAAAGGACCCATCGCATACGCCATCCGCAAACCGGGCTGACATATGCACACATAGACTCAATAGCGAGCTTAAGGCTCACAGCTGTGCTTTATCACCCCCTTACCAACTAAAAATCTCAGTAAGTTACGGTAGCAGTTATCACCGTGTCTTCCTCAGGGCGTACTGTAATTTCAGACTGATAGAGATTGCAATGACAGGATCAAATAAAATAATGAAGTTTGGTACAAAGTGACCTGCCTTTTCAACACTGTATTATTAAGCCATACATTATCCCCGATGTCACTAAAACCCACCATTAGACTGTTCGTTTAAGGAACGTCATGGAAGGGGAACAGTTACGTTCTAACAGAAAACAATTCAATTAATGTAAGCCGCCATCTTTGCGCCCATGACCGCAGCTACAAAATGTCCAAATTAAGTGGACGGGGAAATAAAATGTCATTTGAGCAAGATTTCAATCGAGTATTATCTCCCCATCTTTTTTAGTTCTTACTTTATAACATAACTGTTTTACCTGATGAATTAGGTGTTTGTCACCTTTTCAGATATATACCATACAATTAAATAATGTGGCAAAAAACTTGACCCGTATTTTTTATATTGAATCATTATTTAATTGGCAATTAAAGAAATATGTAAAAGTTAAAACAAATTTGGCGGGCGGCTGTGCCGTGCTATACCAAAATTAATTGTGTCATCTGTTAATAGGAATTCAACTATCAGCGAATGCAGCTAAGAGCTCGCCCTCTGGCGGTGACAAGTGATACTAGTGAAACAAGGTAAACATTTCTTGTGTGTGACATTTCGTTTTGTATTTTATTTAAAACTGTGTATAGTGTTTGCTTTTGAACACTGTTATATTAAAAAAATAGTGTGAGGAAAACTTCAGCAGTTATGGACATTATCTAGGGTTATGGATAAAAAGAAGAAATTGTCGAACTATTATTCATGGAGACTACACAAGGAGCCCGAACTCCATGTAAACAAAAATCTTACAAAAATAAGAGGGCGCTAGTGTTCCATATGTCCCATACGTAGAGAGGAGATAAAAAAGCGGCAGTTTGAATTATAAATCAATCATGTCATTTTTGTGGTGTTAAAAATTTTAAAATAAATAATGTAAGCTACTTTGAATTATATAAATCATGAAAATATGTCATTCCGGACTGTAATTAAACTAAATATATAATAAAAAATATTAGCTTTATGAGAAGAATTTGCTGTTCGTAGAAAGAAACTAGTTTTCAAGGAATTTATGACGTGATCTTGTTAATATTAACCTATAAGTAAGGTTTATGTTTTTGATAATTACTTTGTTAAAGATTTTAGTTTAATGTTAGTAAAAGTCACATTTTATACAGGAAGTTGCCTTTAAAAAAATAGTAATTCTTGTATTATTAATATGGAATTTTTACTTGTGGTAATAAAAAATAGAATATAAAAAAACTCGGTGTTTTAAATAAACTTTTTAAAATATTACAGATGTCCGATTTTGAGTCCAGTGATTCAGATGACTTATTAGACGCATTGTCCAGCTTGAGAGTGGTGATGAAATAGATTTATTCTAAGAAACAGATAGAGTAAAAAATAAGAACTACTTTGAAATTATTGTACCTGAATATAGTGGCCAAGTTTTTTTAACATGTCCATGTTAGCATATGGGAAGTAGCTAACAGAATTGAAGAAAAATTTGCCATTTCTAATTATTTCACCCATGATTCTGGTAAATTTTGCATTGCCTTAAGCTCTACAACAACCAGAAAAGTTACATACTTGCTAAGTAACTTGTCTCCATAAATTATAGAATGGCCGAGATAATGAGGCAGTTGTAATCGAACAATATTTTGCCCAATATGAATTTCCAGAGCAGGTTATAGGAATAATTGATGGGAAAGGAATTCATATAAGATAGAGTATATCACAATCCATATTTTTTTTGAATAACCAATAATATACTATATTATAGTGTAACTGAAAACTGACTATGGAAAGTCGATAAATTATGGTTGGACAATTTCTAAGCTGATTGCCATGTTGTCGGTTTAGACTTCTCAATGCTTCGAGAGTCATATCGCTCTCTTCTCAAAATGTCAAGAAGCTTAAAACAACATAACAACCAATTGATACCAAAATTTTAACAAAATATAGGTACTCCATTATAAAGGTCACAAAAAATAGGTAATCTAAATATTTTATAACTGTTTAAAATCGATTAGTTTTCTGGGTATATATTTTAAAATTGCTGTAAAATTTAATTCTACTTTCGTAAAATTGTTGATTTAATTCGAACGTAACATGGTTCCATGACTTATTCCAAGGTAGAGTATAGACCAAAATTAATAAGGTATTATAAAGAAATATTTTAGCAATGTTCTATATTTTTGTTATATATTTTGTAAAAATAAAATGTTTATCTACCAAAGATTTCAATGTTTTATTAATTGAATCAAAAAAACGAAATTATTTGTGCCTAATTAAAATAAAATAAATATTTATTCATAACAAACAAGTAACAAAGTAAATATATATTACAAATAAAACAACTTAAAAATAAGTAATACGTGTCAGTCTATCTTCTTAAAATTTCATTTTGTTCATGAAGCAATTGATTTCCATGTTTAAATATTTAGTAAAAGTAGTCAATTACCAATACAGATCGATCAGCATCAATTACTACACGTATCCTCTCTTTAAATTTTATATGATATCTGAATTTCAATCAGTTTTTTACTAACAGGAAAGAAACAGCAACTAATTGGAAATGATTTATTCAATTCAGTAATGATAATAACAATGTCACCAGCAAGAATTATATGAAAGATACGAATTTAATTATTAATGCACATAATATAAATTACAAGAATATGTAGAAATCAATAAAGTATACTTTGTTGTCAATATTATGTGAACATATTCATCATTGCTTTGTTGAGATCTCATCACACGTCAACAGAACTTTTCTTTTATTAGATTATACAGGACAGGATACTCACTATCTAATATAATCTCCTCGTAACTTAATTGCTCTTGATTTACTTGCTGTTCTTGTTGTTGTTGTTGTAACTGTTGCTCTTGTTGTAGCTGCTTCACCTGTTGTTGCTGGTGTAGCGGATGCTCTTGCTGTTGATGCTGCTGCAAGATATATAAAGAAACAATGCATCATTCAATTATACAATATTTGCACTTATGAAATCTTTCCAACTTCCGAATTATTCGACCTTTTGCCATAATATTAACCCACCATTCGGTCAAGTTGTAATATATAGAACTGCTGGACATCATTAGATTGAAACTGCAGATCACAAACGTACTCTTTTATTTTTAATTTGTTGACAGTCATTCACTTCACATACTATTACGTGCTATTACCATATTTAAATTATTTTCGAAACTTTTTATTTACCATTATAAAAACAAATTGTAATAATTATTGACATGACTTCTAGTTTTTAGGTTAGTATACCTCTCCGATATATCTACTAAACTCAATATTATAAAATAAAATTGGTTATTTGCTTACTTCACTCGTATTTATTATGCTACATTCATTTGGGTCATATGGAACACTAGCGCCACCCCAACTTCTGCCATTTCTTGGACAAATATTGTCAATTTTCCCGTATGAGTTCGTGCTCCTTATCTAGTCTCCCTGCTATTATTGTTCAGTTCATGGCTGTTCTTCATGGCCCAAGAAAAATCCAGAATTAAGTTTTCATCAAATTGAAGAAATTTTCAAAATATTATTGTCGATAGACAGTACTCCCTGAATTTCAAGAGCGTTGCTAGTAAGGGCACTAGTTTGCAGTCACAATGAATAAATTTCTAAATTTAAATCACTTTGCCCAATTTTCCCACATAGTACCACATAACCAGCGTTAAAAACTGCCTCTCCTTCTGATATACGAGAATTTTCGTTGGCACTTAAATAGGAAATGTTGGTATTCCACAACGGATAACTTCATAGTTATATAACCTCAAAAAATGTACATTAAATTGTAATGCTAGAAACAAACAAGGTAGACATAAATACTTGCATTAAAATTTATTTATGAAATATTTGAAACCTATAAAATATCACAAAAGTCAAATAACCGCAGTTTAATAACAAAATTACTAATAATAATGGGAAATAAAACGAATGTTGTTCAAATTAATTTGTAAACACGAACGGCAATGTCAAAATTACCTTGTCTCAGAGCTTACCAATTTCACCGCTTGATGCGCTTGCATCTTAAAAATTATCGCGGATAGTCTCATACCACTGTCCTTCTTTTATTTAGTAATAGAGAGGCAAAGAGGAGTTACTTAAATAAGTTTTCTGTAAAAACATATCCATATTCACAACTTGATAACAATGTCGTATGTTTCAAATAAAATAACTGCTTGTCTACAATCATCGAATATAGCCTTTTAACTTTAACAGAACGAAATTAAGTAAATTTCGCAGCAATTTTTTAGATACTCCTCTAATTGTAAGTTTACATAAAACACATTAATATTTAGATATTAAAATCCTTTTCGAAAATTTTCACTGAATGCAATTGATTTATAACTAATGTATAATATTCGAGTTCCTTATCTTTTAATTAGCTTCTTGTTACTTGAAATATCAACTTTATTTCTATTTTTATGAATGACAAAGAATACTATTCATATATCAAGCATAACTGTCAATACTGTCAAACAAATTACAATTGTTCTCTCCTTTTTAGATCAGGGCAACACTGACCAGGGCGCAGAGACTTTTAAATTTAAATAAGTACCCAACAACTAATGTAAAATAAACTTCCATTATTTCACGGTGAAAAGATGTGTGTCGAATTACATATACGAGACTCGTAATATCATGAATTTGATCCTTTTAGGATCCAAATATTGAAAGTATAAGTAATAATTGCATATATCGCAAATATTATAATCATACGATATTTTTTATCAATATCTAACGTCCTCTAAAAACTTTTTTCCTAAATGTCGAAATTAAAAAAAAAATAACTTGTGCTGTATCTAACTGAATTGTTTATTGAAAATTTCATCTACTAATATAATAGCATACATTATATTATTCTTTAAATAAAAACATTCAAAATATATTTAAGGGTCGACATAATAATATTGCTGCAGATTCAGGTACAAATACAGGGTGTCGCGCTTAAATGTAATACAAGCCTGTAGTTTCTTTATTTCTTTGACCGATTTCAAAATTTTTTTTTAGAATGTAGGATAAAAAGCTCTATCTAACAGTAATGCTGCTGTTTTTATTAACGCAATTCACGACCAACTAGTACGCGTTTTTTTTGACGTCATTGATAATAATTGATATTAGCGATTTTTTCTAAAAAACAAATTACATATTCTCATTCAGCATTCCTTAAAATGTCTTATCACCAAGTTTCATCAAATTCGATACATCTTCTGACGAGCACTAGTTGGCCGTGTATTGCATTAATAAAAAACAGCAGTATCACAGTCAGATAGAGTATTTTTTACCCTACATTCCCAAATAAAAATTTTTGAAATCGGCCAAAAAATAAAGAAGTTACAGGCTTGTATCATATTTAAGCGCGACACCCTGTATATTGTTATATATCGATATTTTTGTCAAATGAAGGATGTCATGTCGTACCCAAAGCAAATGTAAAAAAACCGGTGATTTGAATATTATTAATTCAAGACGACCCATAATAATTAATGTACCAAACTTAGCCATCACAAGATTCTTCTTCATTCAAAATTACGAAACAAAATTGCAATAAATATAGGTCCGAAAATATTTGTTGAAGAAGCTATCTATGTACAGCTACCGAAAGAAGCATTTTTGAACCACCGCTTATAAGAACATTTTTGCTTGCATTAAGAGCGTATAAGCTAGTGATGAAGTTTGTCAAGCAAATTATTGGATACCTGGCTTGGTCATTTAATTTTTGTGAGCGGATGAAGCTTTTTAAGACCAAATTTACTCGAAAATGGTAGGTATCTACTATCAAAATCAAATAAGAAAACCGAAAAAAGTTACAGCAGGTTTTATCCCCACCGTGAGTATAGTTCTGATCTTATTAAATATAACTGTTGTCCGTCGATTTTGTTAAGAACTAAATGGTAGACTTCTAAAATTTCATTAATCAGACCATACTTTAATGGTAGATTCTACTTTACAATAATAAAAGTGTCTGCTAATAAGTTCGGAAACTTTTAATATACAGTACGTTAAAAATATATACGGTTATTTTAAATTCCAAAAAAATAGTCATGCAAATAATGCTTTCTTATTTCATTCATTTGCATGCTTAGACATGATTTAACTCTTTATTATTTATATTCACAACAGTGCATTATAGAGTAAGATTATTTATTTTGGAAAGTCTATTATAATAAAAAGCAAACTTGAAATCGTTTTGTGAAAATAGTGAAAATTACGCTGAACACTTTTGGATGTATGCTTCTGCAAATAAATATCAATATTATTTACATACATTTCTGGATAATCAAAAATTAAAGCTATATACCAAATTAAAATGAAATTGTATCTAAAAAATGAAGCTTGTCCAGATTTATGTTTATAGGAGATTTTTGTTGATTTGAGACACTCCATCGTTT